TTTTTGTGGTATGAATTGTGCTTTTTTTTGTGCTTTGTTTTGTGGTATGAATTGTGTTTTTTTGTGTGCTTTTTTTTGTGGTATGAATTGTGCTTTTTTTTGTGCTTTTTTTTGTGGTATGAATTGTGCTTTTTTTTGTGCTTTTTTTTGTGGTATGAATTGTGCTTTTTTTTGTGCTTTTTTTTGTGCTTTTTTTTGTGCTTTCTGGCAATTGAAAACAAATTAGATAATAGTTTCCCTTCACAATTTTACATGCGAACGGGCTGGAAACGCGCATGATTTGTGCTTTTTTTTGTGCTTTTTTTTGTGGTATGAATTGTGGTTTTTTTTGTGCTTTTTTTTGTGGTATGAATTGTGCTTTTTTTTGTGCTTTTTTTTGTGGTATGAATTGTGCTTTTTTTTGTGCTTTTTTTTGTGGTATGGATTGTGCTTTTTTTTGTGCTTTTTTTTGTGCTTTTTTTGTGCTTTTTTTTGTGGTATGAATTGTGCTTTTTTTTGTGCTTTTTTTTGTGGTATGAATTGTGCTTTTTTTTGTGCTTTTTTTGTGGTATGAATTGTGCTTTTTTTTGTGCTTTTTTTTGTGGTATGAATTGTGCTTTTTTTTGTGCTTTTTTTTGTGGTATGAATTGTGCTTTTTTTTGTGCTTTTTTTTGTGGTATGAATTGTGCTTTTTTTTGTGCTTTTTTTTGTGCTCGGGAGCGCCGGAAAAGCACAAAAAATAGCACAAAAATGCACAAAAAAAGCACGGAAAAAGCACGAAAAAAGCACAATTTCTCTGGAAAAAATGAATCTCAGGCCACCTGGCCTCGACAGCCTTCGGACCAGCGGCCCGGCAAATGTCTCATACCATTTCCTTTTTTCCAACCTCCTTTCCAAAAAAAACTCTCAAGAGTGAGCCCATGCCAGGAGCGGGAATGTGAAAAAAAATGTAATTATCATATGATGTTTATTAAGAACCTCAACAACTATTGTTGGAGGCACGCCTTTGTAACGCTTTTCACTTATAACTTACAATGGTTGGACCGTTTGATTGCAGTATCTCGGTATCTCAGGTATGCTGCATTCAATATTGTAAAGAATGTCATGAGTCATAGTATCGTATCATCATATCGATGCAACACCTTGCATCATCATACCATATTATTGCCATTGCTATTTGACACACAAATATTCAGATAAACAAAATCATGTCAGCTGTCAGACTTCCCAGAACCATTCCAACGTTCCAACCATCAAAGGATATCAACAGCAACATCGATACTTTGATTTTTTTGGCTAGTTGATGACAAGTTCAGCAAACATGTCCTGATGGCTCCAACAATATGGCGCAATACAAAAGGATGTTCGTTAAAATGATTTAAATGGTTTAACCACAAACAATGCCACCTGAAAGGTAGTGATGTTGTTGCATTCACTACTCCACCCTTTGTTACTTGTACGGCCCACCTAGATCACATCTTCTCCCAAGCAGACCCTAAGGATCCCCTAAAATGGCCTGAGTTACCACCAATATGATTGTGCTTTTTTGGTATGTGGTTTATGAAAGGGGGGCAGTTTTGAACTGTTAGTGGGCGGGGGCAGACCTCAATATATATATATATCTATATATGGTCCAGCGTTCCAACCCCCCCTGTGGTGTGGTGGTGGTGTGGTACTGTCCCCCTCCCCCTCCTGTGGTGTGGTGGGGGTGTGGTACTGTCCCCCCTCCCCCCCCTTGTGGTGTGGTGGGGGGTGTGTGGTGGGGAGGGGTGTAGTGTAGTGTATGTATGACAATATATATGCACCAGGCCCTGCCACCCCCCTCCCCCCCCTGTGGTGTGGTGGGGGTCTTGTACTGTCCCCCTCCCCCCCTGTGGTGTGGTGGGGGTGTAGTATGGTATGTTGGGTATGTATGGTGTGTATGGTTGGTTTGGTATGGCATGTTTGGAAAGTATGGTATGTTTGGTATGTATGGTAGGTATGGTATGTATGGCATGAATGGTTGGTATTGTATGGATGGTAGGTATGGTATGTAAGTCTGTTGGGTATGGTATGTTTGATATGACAGTATGTATGGTCTGTATGGTATGTATGGTTGCTACGATGGGTATGGAATGTTTCCTATGTAAGGTAGGTATGGTATGTATGGCATGTATGTTTGGTATTGTATGTATGGTAGGTGTGGTAATTATGTTTCATATGTATGGTATGTGTGGTAATTATGTTTCATATGTATGGTATGTGTGGTATGTATGATAGGTATGATAGGTATGGTATGTATGGCATCATTGGAATTTATGGTAGGCACGGTATATGTTAAGCACATGTAGTGTTGTGAGAGTACACAGGTAGTAAATAGGAAGTAGATACATAGCACATGTATATATGACTATAGGTAGCACGTAGGTGCTTTGAGGGAGTATGTGTGCCCTACGTAGGTCGTCTAAAAGGTAGCATGTACCTAGTAAATGCGAGGCTGGCAGTCACAAAATACCTAGCAAATACGAGGCTGGACCTCAGAAATGCTACCAATAGCTTGCAAATAGAAGGGAAGGGGGTGCTACCTGGAGACCCATACCATTGGCGGGGTAGGAACACGGAACACGGAACACGAGACACATACACACATGCACATACATACATACATACATACATACACATACACATACACATACACATACACATATACATATACACATACATACATACATACATACATACACACATACACACATACACACATACACACATACACACATACACAGACACACACACATACATACACATACATACATACATACATACACACATACACACATACACACATACACACATACACACATACACAGACACACACACAGACACACACAGACACACACACACAGACACACAGACAGACACACATGCATACAAACATACAGACATACAGACACACACACACACAGACACACAGACACACAGACACACAGATAGACACACAGACAGACACGCAGACAGACACGCAGACCGACGGACATACAGACATACAGACAGACACACAGACACACAGACCGACAGACACACAGACACACAGACAGACACACATACATGCACACATACATGCACACATACATACACACATACATTCATACATACATGCATGCATACATACATACGTACCTACCTACCTACATACCTACCTACCTACGTATGTACGTACCTACGTGCGTACGTACGTACCTACGTACCTACGTACCTACGTACGTACGTACATACAGACAGACATACATACATACAACATGTTTTTTTTTACATATTCCATCCTATGTATTTATAATAAGATTTCTTCCCGAAAAAGGCACGATCCAAGGTGGATAGACTCAATAAATACAGTCGAATCTATGGTGCAGTCCGCGCTTTGTCAAATCCCTTTGCAACATTGTGTGATTGTGCTACCTTTCTAGCCAACAACCCTGCCACCATCAACTGGGTGATTTGTTCCACTTGTTTCCTCAGTCTCTGCCCAGAAAGCCAACACCCATTGTATGCATCCCTGATTTCTGGTCACAATCATTGCTAGCGCTACATCAGGGGTATCTAAGCCTTTGCTGTTGGATTGAGACGTAAAAACGGTGGATAAAGGTGGAACATTGCAAAATCGATCGGTGTAGATGAGTACTTTAACCTTGAGCTGAATTTCAATCATTTGTGCTTGTATCAGTTTCTTGAGACTAAGTTGTAACATGGGTTCACAGGTGCTGACCTCTTCAAAGGCACGAGACAGATTGGCAGCATTGAAGAATGGTGTAATGAAACGTTTTATTTATACTGAAACTATAGTGACTACAACACTGCAAACACACTCTCTCATGCCTGGACTTGGCCCTGCAACTTCTGCAGGTGCAATTTGCTCTGCCAAAGATAGGGTATGGCTTTATCTGGCACTGTGCATCAAAAGGTGGGATGCCAATTGACGTAGTCAGGTAATCAAGCAAAATTGTCACCTGGATACTGAGAAAGCAGGTAAGTTCTATCAGTCATGTTGATTGTTCCTTATATTGTTTGAGCTAGTTTTGAGCACAGTAATGAGTACTTTGAGCTTCTCGAACAGAACAC